GTAAAAGAAAAAAAATACTGCGCCTTGATACATACCGCATATACTCGCATATATTAGCCTACATCGCATATAAGCCGACCCCCTAAAACTGCTTTAAAATGGCCAGTTTTTGCAAAAACCCGCATACAAGCCATCCATACAATTGTCTAATTTTACTCCATATTTTTGGTTCATCGAAATGTGTTACTGTGAAGATGTAAAATGCTTACTTTTGTGTTACATACGAGTTTGTTTACCTTTTTGAATGGCACAAAAATTGACTGCTCTTTCCATATTGTTTGCTATAATAATATCTGTATATATTTTTATATTAGTCCTCTGTACACACAACCAAATAAAGAGTCAGATAGTGATGAAAATGTGTGGCTGGAAAATTGCCATTAGTGTCTGTCCTTGTGTCCATTTTGTTTTATGCGCATATAAGCCGACCCCCTGATTTCAGTATGGTATTTTATAGTTCTAAATTCGGCTAATATGCGAGTATATACGGTATATCTTGTTTACTTGCATAGCTTCTAGATCTTTAAATTTCTAAACACTTTGTAAACATATACTCAAAGTTAAACTTAAATTTTAGTACTCTATTAAAAATGGCCTAGCCAGGGTGGGTGCAGCCCGGTGCGTGCCCAGGCTCTTGCCGCCCCTTTCACAAAAAAAGGCTACAGTAGGACGAAAATGCTGTCCTTCCATATAAAGAAAAGTCGTGCCACCAGCGGCGGACCGCATCCCCCCCCCCACCCCCCAACCTTTGCTACTGCCTGATGAAATAACCAGTGATTAATGTACTAAAAGAAAAAAAAAATTAGAAAAAAAAAGGCTACAGTAGGACGAAAATGCTGTCCTTCCATATAAAGAAAAGTCGTGCCACCAGCGGCGGACCGCATCCCCCCCCCACCCCCCAACCTTTGCTACTGCCTGATGAAATAACCAGTGATTAATGTACTAAAAGAAAAAAAAAATTAGAATATATATATATTCACAAATCATGTTTTGTATGTATGTACACAGTGGTAAGCAGTTTGGTTTTAAACAATCGTAAATTGTAGGCCATGTTTGGATACATTAATGCATTAATAAAACATATTAAGTAGGTCAGATAATGAAGAATGCATGCCTTGGTGTGACAAACATTGATAAGTAGGTCAGCTCACAAACAATCATACCTTTTGGCGGCGTACATTAATGAAGCACTGGCAGTTTAGATAATGATAAATTGATTACTTGGTCTCACGTTTTTTTATGAATTATGAGTAGGTCATCTAAATAATGATTCTGTCTTCTGTGTGATGTACATTAATGAAACACAGTTACAAACAGACCGGGATGCCATGGTTCTTCGTATGGTACAGGATCTTGTCATCGGTCAACATGACTTCGTCTTAGCATAACAAGCTGTGTTACAGGAACAGCTGTAAAATGTTTGTTAAATAAATACACATCATATCATAACATGCTGTCGTACAGGAACAGCTGTGAGAAATGGAAATGTTACATTACGAATACAAGTTCTCGTGTATAAAATTGTATTTAAAAATTATTGTATGAACATGGAACACTATTGATGATGGTAAATTCAAACAATCACGATCGCCTGGATGTAATAATCATGACCACCCGGATGTGATCCACCAAAATTACTGGCCAAGGGAAACGATAGCAGGTGTGGCCTCCCAGTCCGCCAGATCTCTACAATTATCTAAGCCAATGGCTACAGCCTCCCAGTCCGCCAGATCTCTACAATTATGTAAGCCAATGGCTACAGCCTTCCAGTCCGCCAGATCTCTACAATTATCTAAGCCAATGGCTACAGCCTCCCAGTCCGCCAGATCTCTACAATTATCTAAGCCAATGGCTACAGCCTTCCAGTCCGCCAGATCTCTACAATTATCTAAGCCAATGGCTACAGCCTTCCAGTCCGCCAGATCTCTACAATTATCTAACCCAATGGCTACAGCCTTCCAGTCCGCCAGATCTCTACTTTTATCTAAGCCAATGGCTACAGCCTCCCAGTCCGCCAGATCTCTACAATTATCTAAGCCAATGGCTACAGCCTTCCAGTCCGCCAGATCTCTACAATTATCTAACCCAATGGCTACAGCCTTCCAGTCCGCAAGATCTCTACAATTATCTAACCCAATGGCTACAGCCTTCCAGTCCGCCAGATCTCTACAATTATCTAACCCAATGGCTACAGCCTCCCAGTCCGCCAGATCTCTACAATTATCTAACCCAATGACTACTGTCTCCCAGTTCGCCCTCCTTTCGTTTGGGCTGCCAGTTTTGGACCACCAACATGAACTCCGTATTCTGACTAACAGTTCTCGTTTCTAACCTTGAGTTCATCCTATCTGCACCATCGTGGCACACAATTATCATTTAAAATGTATATCAAACAAAAAAACGTCACAACTTCAGGTTATATTAAATCAATCAATTAAAAAAAAACTATGCAGTTGTCTAAGTTTGTTCTCATCAAAAGATCTAAACTAAAATGACCCCCGTGGGGGTATCAGGAGCACCACGAGTCACGCCTTACATTTTTATTACAGCTTGATAAAAGTGTCAGTCCTCTCAAAGTTGTACATACATGACTCATTGTTGTCTACGTCATGTAGACCAAACCCATCGCCAGTCAAAATATTTTGTAATAATGATTAATGTAATGATTACATAAAATTAATTTATTTAAAGATAATTTTCATGTAATAACACATTGTAAACAGTTAACGTGCGTACATGATTGTATGAATATGTGAGTATTTGTTGTTCGTACTTCGCATGCGAAGAAGAATCCCCCCAGTCCTAAAATTCAACGGTGTGTTGTCAGTCCTAATACACTCAAGTATGTCATTTCAACACACTTCGGACACGAGGTTTGTTCTATTTATTATGATACCCTGATGTCCTGTAATCGGGAGGCACACCCAATCATTCACGAGATCCTTCCTTCAAAAGTCAAAATGAATGTTACTGCATTAAAACAACATAATATAGTTCTGATGTGCAATCGTCTGACTCAGGGGTCACCAAACTTTTTACACGGATGGCCGGATAACGGAAAAAAAAAAGGACGATCGCGGGCCATATAATGATTCTGTACACTACTTGCAAGCCAGAATGAAAGCTATGGGGGAAAAAAAAAGACGAACAGCTAAATTTAGTTTCCATGTTAATCATGGGTCAATGGCGTGCAATGCAAAAAAAAAAAAAAAAAAAAAAAAAAAAAAAAAAAAGCAAAGACAACCAACCAGAGGCGTAGCGTGGTGGGGGCAGGGGGGACAGATGTCCCCGGGCGCAAGCTAGTTAGGGGCGCCAAAATGTGCTTTGATATTATATTATTGGTAAAAATAATGGGTTTGAGAGTTGAAAAAAAGAAAAGGGGGCGCTTTAAAATGGATCTTGTCCCCGGGCGCCAAACACCCTCGCTAC